AAGGGCAACCTCTTCCCCCCCCCCCCCCCTCACTCTCTTCACTCCCTCCAAACAAAGTAGACTTGAGCTGGGGTCTGAGAAAGCAGTATTGAGTTGAGGCTAGAACAGTGGGCAGCCAGGTTGGGAAGGAAGAAGAGAACACATTTTGGTTGGGAACCCAACAGAATTTGCTATTCAACTGGCCAAGTACTGGAAGGAATATGTGGAGAAATGAGACTGAAAATTTCTTAGGGTAGTGAATTTATGGATTGAGATTTATTTTCTTCCCAGTTTAACTTGTTCAGATTTAAAAAAAAATGTTTCATATTTTTAGCTATTGGCACTAAATGTTCAGGTAAGACCAGGACACATCTATATATTGATCTATTCACTCTAAGGATTCTGAAAAAAATGTTTGGTTAGGTCTTAGAACTCAGCAGTGTTCTCAAGAAAACATTTCTTCCTGGTATATTTATAGACTTAAATTTCATTCCTGCTTATTCTATTCCTCATATACCTATGTACTGATAAAAGGAAATGTGTAACAAATATCTCTAAAGCATCTTCGGAAATAAATTTTAACTGATAAATCTTGTTTATTGTATCCTAGTGATATTTTAAAAGTCTAATGGCTAAATTTGAAGAATTAGAGATAAAAGTAGACTTTACTCAAACTTCCATATAATTTGGTTTGTATATCTCTTTTCTGCTGCTCAAGGTCCTTGCTATGCCAAAATTGGGAGAAATTATGGAGTTCATGAAATCCTCATTTTATTGTTGAGGAAGTTGAAATACAGAGAGGTAAGTTAACCTGCCTATGTTTACACCATTGGTGGCTGATCCAGGCTCACCAAAGCCCTCTGATTTCTTTTTCTTTTTTCACAAAAAAATATTTTATTGATATTTTACAGACAGGAAGGGAGAGGGATAGAGAGTTAGAAACATCAATGAGAAAGAAACATTGATTAGCTGCCTCTTGCACACCCCCTACTGGAGATGTGCCCGCAACCAAGGTACATGCCCTTGACCAGAATCGAACCTGGGACCCTTTAGTTCACAGGCCGACGCTCTATACACTGAGCAAAACCGGTTTTGGCCCTCTGATTTCTAATATTACAATTGCACAAGAATAGTAACTGAGGGACACTAAGGCAGGATGACATGTACCACTAATGACAGGCATGCAGTACCAATAGAGGAGTCTGGAACTGATCTAGGTAGAACAGGATTTCATACAGGAAATCTGGTGTTTACAAAACCACTAGAAGTGCTGACTAACGTTGGGGATGAGCTTTCGGGATTGACTCCCTAACGCTGTGGAATGGATCTGCCAAGGATATTCAAATCTCTATCCCAGTGGTTCTCACCCTTTCTAAAGCCACGACCCTTTAATACAGTTCCTCATGTTGTGGTGACCCCCACCCACAAAATTATTTTTGTTGCTACTTCATAACAGTAATGTTGCTACTGTTATGAATCGTAATGTAAATATCTGCGTTTTCCGATGGTCTTAGGCGACCCTGCTAGCAGTTCTCAACCTGTGGGTTGTGACTATAGAGCCTAAGACCATCGGAAAACACAGATATTTACATTACGATTCATTAACAGTAGCAACATTACAGTTATGAAGTAGCAATGAAAATAATTCTATGGTTGGGGTCACCACAACATGAGGAACTGTATTAGAGGGTCACAGCATTAGGAAGGTTGAGAACCACTGCTCTATCCTATTAGTGATCAGAATCACAAGATGGTAGTTTCCAAAAGATCCATCCTAAATCTTCACTATTACTAGAAAAATAATACTTATGATAAAAAAAAATTCTATTGCTGGCGAATTAGAAGTGGTATCTTTATTTATGAAGGACAACTTATTCATTGATTTTGTTTCTCCATCTATAACAGGTCTGCTCTACGTTTACCCTAAATGTTTGATTGATTTAAAAAAATGTTTTTCCTTCTGTTTCTTATGTATTCATTTTAAATGATTAAAATCCAAGTATTATGACTTTTCACTTGATTTTTAAAGAAATATATTTTATTTATTTTTTACAGAGAGGAAGGGGATTAGAGAGTTAGAAACATCAATGAGAGCAAAACATTGATCAGCTGCATCCTGCACACCCCCCACTGGGGATGTGCCCACAACCAAGGTACATACTCTTGACCGGAATCGAACCTGGGGCCCTTCAGTCCGCAGGCTGACACTCTATCCACTGAGCCAAATTGGTTTTGGCTTGATATTTTTTCATATTCATATTATATGGCCCACTGTATTACATAACTATATATAAAGTGATAAAACATTATTTTTATATCCATAGAATCAAGAAAAAAGTTAATGTGAAGGTTAACTGTTCTCTGAAAATTGACATGCAGAGCGTCACACATATCTCTACTGAATTTTTAACAGCATTATTGAGATATTCACTTATTTGAAGATTTTTAGTATAATCATAGAAGTGTACAACCATCATCAAAAGTCTCTATTAAATTTCATCACTTTATTTTTAAATTCAATTTTCTAAATCTCATAATTTGGGCTGCTTATTCTTACTTTCATGCTGTAATAAAACGGAATGATACAGGGTGAAAATCATGGCCAGATGGCTGCAGGTTGAGATTACTCTGTTCAGGAGAATAATTTTAATAAACTGTAAAACCACCCCAACTATTATAACAATTGACACCAACCCAGGCATCATCAAGAATACTATGAGAAGTGTCTTGCTTGTCTACCTAGTAACCATTAAGGAAAAGGAGGTAAGTGCTGGCTGACATAATTTGTTCTAAATGAAACCATTCTGTTTTTGTTTTTTTCCTTAATAGTTCACAAATGATGAATCCTAAAATTTGGCTGATGACTGATATAAAATCTGGCCTGTGGTTTCAGCCATGCATCCCCTCTGCCTTTTCAAAGATCAGTATGAGGTTTGGTCATGTCCAGTCTCTGGTGTTGCCTTGTCAGCAGGGAGTGATTTAATGGTTTTATTAATTGCTCTGATGTTTCCTGGCACATAGTAGGCACTCAACTTGAATATTCATTGAGTGGATGCCTTGAACAGAGATTTCTCATAGTGTTTTCATGACCACTTTTCTATTTGTTTTGACAATTAGCTCTTATCTTAAACGTCACTCACTTTAGAAAGCCTTTCTGATCCTCTGGACGAGGGTAAATGCTTCTGAGCTCTACTTTCGACACCACTTTTATTATTGCTGCAGTCTCCACGAGGGAAGTTTCCATGTTTATTTACTGTTTTCATCTTTATATTCCCAATTCCACGTTCAGTGCCCATCACACTGAAGGGGCTTAATCAGTCAGTATGTGTTGAATAAATGAAGTAAATTGAGATGTAATTTGTCTCTGTTGGAAGGTAAGAACTCATTCAACATAGCCAGGTGTTCTTGTACTTACCCATTCACCTGTCTTGACTTTCAAACTATTATCTCTCCCCCACCTCCTTAAAAACAACTTTATTGAGGCATAATTTACATATCATAAAATTCATTCACTAAATTCTTCGTATTATTTTGTATTTTCCCTCTCATTTTCTGTGTGAAGTTCATTTTTCTGATGGGTGAAACCTTGGATGGAGAATGTGTTCCTAGATCCATTTACCAGGGTTTCCTTCTGTCTCACTTTTCTATTGTGATCATCAGCAAATCATACCTTTATGCCTTGGTTTCTCAGCTGCAAAATTGCACTATTAAGAGTTTTGTCATTGGATACTCTAAGGATTAAATAAAATGGCACGCAAAAGATTTGATGCACGGTAGAGAGGTAATAACACAAACAATGTTGATTTCTTCCTTCTCTTCATTATCTTATTAACCTTTCACCCCCTCCCCACCCCCAACTCCCAACAGGAGATCTGCTCTTTTCACCATCATCATTATTTTGTTCTAAGCACAGTAAAAAAAACACAAAAAAACCCCAACCTTCTTCCTTCCTTAGCATTTCTGCAAATCCCACTTCATGCAGAGGTTTAGCTTTCCTGACACAATTCTTAAGAGGTTTTTCTCCCTCTTTTTATTCAACCTTTGGCATATGCCTTTTCCTTTCCATCTTTTTAATAGGCTGGTAGGAAAAACAAACCCCACCTGAGATCATTAGAGAACAGGGGTCTCTTTAGTTTGCTTTTTCCCCTTCTTATTCACTGTATTTCATTTTGAACTCGGAATTTTATTTTCCAAAGCCTCCATTCTTTGACAGGTGTTTTTCTTTTCACTAGTACATCCTTTCGTCTGGAAATCAGAACTCTTTCCCCCTGGATCTGTTTTCTCTAGTCTCCCCACCCCCTGATTGCTTGCTGTATTACCCTCACATCGCCCAGGTTTCTCCAGCTTCCACTCGACCAAACCATTCCTCCCAGGGAGTATCATGACATCAGCATTCCTAATGCAAAATCGGTTCTATTCCAGAGACTACGTTTTATTCTAGCCCGTCCATTCAAGGACCACATTCGGTTCTGGTCTGATTGAACCATGGAGGATGAAATTGTCTAAGGTCCAATGCAAAAACTGCTGCGAGATTTGGGAAACCTATTTATTATATTCCTATTAAATATAAACCTGTTGAATTGTTGCTTTTTTTTTCCTTTTTTCCCCTCAACGCTTCAGAAGCCCTGAGATTTCAGGTAAGTGACACGGTAGAAAGGGAGAGTTTCCAGAAACTTCGCAAAAAAAAAAAAAATTAGACTCCAGCAAGAAGGACTGTTCCATACGCTCAAGGAGCGCCCACCCGCACATCCATCTCCATCACCGCCGCCACCGGATTATCTCACCAGCAAGTGAGGCTGCAAGGTTCGGGGGCCGGGCCGAACCACTCCGCCCCGCGCGGAGGGGGGGTCCGCGGCCGCACTGCGGAGCCTGGCCGTTCCCCCCGCGTTGGTCCTGCCCCGGTCCCCCCCGCGCAGGCACGCACAGTGCGTCCGGCCGGCGCTTTATAGCGGCCGCCTGGGCGGCTCCGCTCGCTGTTTGTCCTCCTCGCCCGCGGCCTTGCTCACCTGTGCTCCGCCAAGATGCAGCTCAAACCCATGGAGATCAACCCCGAGGTGAGCGTCCGGTGCATCGTGGCCCCAGGAGCGCTGGACGGATTGGGGGTCAGCCCACGCCGGGTAGCGGGGTCGCTGACCGCTTTTATTTTTTATTTATTTATTTTTCTTTGCATTTGTCTTTCAGATGCTGAACAAAGTGAGTGGCATCTCGCGTGGCCTCGGTACCCCCCCCGCACCCCCTCCTTCCAGGAGAGCCGAGGCGGAGGCGCCCACCTGCTCCGGCGGCTTCGCAGTGACTTAGCGGCGCCCTGTTGGCTCGGAGGAGCCGGGCTGGGCGCGGCCGGGGCCCCTGCATGGGGGGCGGAGTGGATGCAGGTGGAGGAGGAGGAGGCTGCATCCCCAGGGCGAGCTCAAAGCCGAGCTCCCGAGGGCGTGGCCGGGGCCGCGGGGCCTCGGCTGCTCGGGCTTCGCGGGAGCCACGTGTGGGCCGTGCTTTGTTGCTGTGTCATCGCCCCGGCGGGGCGGGGGGCCGGGCGGGGACTCCTCCCAGGCTTTGATGAGGGTGTCGGCTTCCCCGAGCCTGGCCGCCTTGTCTCCCTTCCTCTCCGCAGGTGCTGGCCCGGCTGGGGGTGGCCGGCCAGTGGCGCTTTGTGGACGTGCTGGGGCTGGAGGAGGACGCGCTGCGCTCGGTGCCCGCGCCCGCCTGCGCGCTGCTGCTGCTCTTCCCGCTCACCAACCAGGTAGGTAGGGCGTGGGGCCCGCCCTGCGCGCCCCTCCAAACCAGAATGAGGCTTTGAGGATAGGCTAGACTCCAAGCTCCTCTTCCCACCTGGCCTAAGTGCCCACACCTGGCAACACTGCCCTCTCCCTGGGCATGGGGGGTGGGGAGGGCGTGGAGGGAGGAGCCCACACCCTGGATACCTACTATCCTGTGGGGCTCGTATTGGGATAGAGCTTATTGCGCTTGTTCACCCATCATCCACCATTGCCTCACATTTGGAGGAGAAATAATTACAAATTATTATCTATCCCTCGGGGAAATAATCCATCCTACCCATAAGTCCTAGGCTTTTCTGAACCTTCCATGCCAAGGCCTGGCTGGTTCTTTCCCTTTAAAAGGCTGTCACCTTGCTGTTACACAGAGGGGGATGGGCTTGCCTGAAGCACATGAAAACAATAGGTTCTTTTAATTCTCTACCTCCAAGGCCTGGGTCTCTCTCCCTGTGGTCTCCCGGTAGTATTCTCCCACTCTCCCATTTTCTACAACATGCACACTTGGGTTTTAGCCTCACCAGTGTGCTCTTGCAAAAAAAAAAAAAAAAAAAAAAAGCTTAATCATTTGTATACAGTTCCGATACGGGAACCTCCTTCCACCTCTCTCCTCCTCTTTCCTCTTTGGCCGTGTGGGTACGTGAAATAGGTGGGCATTAGAGCAGTCTTGGAACTACCTTTTCATTTCCCTTTAGATGGTCTTCCTCTACAAGTGTGCATCAAAAGACTGAGCATCAGATATAACAAAGGTAGCTGGGATAATTGTTGTCTTGCGATGTATGGAATTCCACTAACCGGCATGGTATTGTCTATCTCTTGTTGCTGTCACTTGAACCCCTGATTTGGGAGTGGTTGAACATTTCATATAAACGAAACTTGAGGAATTTGCATTTGGGGCATCATTCCAAACGCAGAGTGAGTGGAAGCAGCAACAGCCTATGTCCAGGTGTTCTAGAAGCGTCCTCTGCATAAATTAGGCCCTATGGGAAGTTCCAGGTGTTTCCCCTATAAATGGGTTAAACACCCTTATTAAAATTGTTAGGATATTCCCGGTGACATGTTTTTTTTATGGCCAATGCTTTTACTTAGGTGGAAACAGAGCTGCCCAAAATGGCATGTCTAATGAACGTCTGTTTGGCCAAATGAAATGCAATCTCCTCTCTTATGTGAGCCCCTCACAGCTTTCTTGCTGGAGGAAGGAACCATGATGACTCGGAGGTTTTGAGCAGCTCTCCTACACCAGGCCTCTGGGAGGCAGTGGCGCAGCCTGCTTGTCTCTCAAAAGCCTACTGATCTCCATTTGCTGGATCAAGTGGTTCTTGTTAGAGAACGTTTTATGTTTGAAAGAGCTCAATACTTAGGATTTTTTTTTTTTTAGCTCCAGTTCAGCCTGTCAGATTTATTGAGCACCCATTCTGCGATACAAGACACCTCCTGGGCTAAACATTAAAGCAAATTCAAAGAAAGGTTGAGGTTCTGTAGCTTGACTTCCAAACAAACCAAGTGAATTTAGAAAACGTTTAATTTTGTCTAAGAGAGTATTATTAAATCCTAAACGGACCACTGTAGAATATTAATATTTCAGTAAGGGTATCTACGCAAGAGCTCAAACAGCCCTAAAGGATGTGCTGTCCCATTTTAAAATGTTTAATTAACCTGGAACAGTGAAAAACCTTAACAGTCAATGAGTCACTAAATTTAAGGATCTGGTGGATACATGGAGCTAGAACTTCCTATGAGTTGGAGTTAAAAGTTGATTCATGTTGCTCTGCTGGTGCTCCGGATAAGGCCTAAATTTCAGTTCTGTGTACAGTAAGGGAAGGCTACTGGGATTGGAAATATTTTGTCTGAATTACACTGGTTATGAGGACTGGTGTTTCTGTAACATCAGCACTCTGCTTTTCCTTGAGAAGTCCTATCTGTAAGGTCTTTAAAACTCGTTAGGGAAAGGTTCAGACAAGCGCACTAAGGGACTGTACAAAGAGTGAATGGATGCTTTGGGGAAAATTTGACTTTCTGATCTGTACCCTCTTCCTCACCTCCCATTGCTCATCTGTCCACAAGTGGGATAGCTGGCAAGGACAAACAAATGTCCCATCTTCCCTTTGTGGGATGAGAAGGAGTTCTGGTGAAATCAGAGTCAGCACCCTATGCCAGTTTTTCTTTCATTAAAAAAAGGGTGAGGGAGTCATACATTTTTTTAGATTGTGCCTTTACGTTAAGGCTTGTATTGTTTTCAAAGAGAGGTGTACTAGTACTCGGACAGAACAGAAGCAGAATGTTAAAGAGTAGTGTGCTATGAACTGGCTGGTATGCTTGGCTGTTTTCGTTAGTGTTAGAGGAAGAAAGCTCGTTGGCTCTTTCCATTTCTGTTTAAGATCCTTAGCTTATAGAATGAACGTGTCTGCTTTTTACCTTTGTGACATCATCCATTTCCAGCTAAAAGGCTGCGGCGGTGTCTAGACCAGCCTTGGGCAATATCCAAGGCCATTACTGCACTGCAGCATCAGGGTGGAGTCTCGGAACTTCTCGGAACCCCGCGGGCTGGTGTGGGTGTGAGGGACAGGCCATTGCCTTGGCGCCGAGAGTCAGCCAACTTTCTCAAAAGGCCTCAGAGTCCATCTCTCAGGCCTAAGGGCCATATGATTCTCTGCCCTTGACGTTGGCTGGCGTGTAGAACCAAGGCTTCTGGTCACACGTCCTAGTTGTGTTTCCATGTAGGTGGTAGGACTTTTCTGTGCTACCATCTGTCTTTGCGTTTTTATTCTGAGATATTAGCATGTTTTTTTTTACATTCACAGCATGAGAACTTCAGGAAAAAACAGATCGAAGAACTGAAGGGACAAGATGTCAGCCCTAAGGTGTACTTCATGAGGCAGACCATTGGGAACTCCTGTGGCACCATCGGACTCATACACGCCGTGGCCAACAATCAAGACAAACTGGAATTTGGTAAGTGTGAGCTTTGAGACCAGTCATCCTCCAGTTTGGTGGTCGGCAAACTCACTAGTCCACAGAGCCAAATATCAACAGGACGACGATTGAAATTTCTTTTTGACAGCCACATTTTTTAAACTTAAACTTCTTCGGACGCCACTTCTTCAAAATAGACTCGCCCAGGCCGTGGTATTTTGTAGAAGAGCCACACTCAAGGGGCCAAAGAGCCACGGTTTGCCGACCACTGCTCTAGTTGACCTCTAGTTAACCATCCGTCTTCACTCCCAAATCCTCAATCGTCTATTCAGCAAACACACTGCCTTCACCATCTTTGAAACCTACTTAACTAGATAGAATCTGTGGGTGAATTCTTATTTCTCTCTTTCAAGGGAAGGAAACTCATTTTCTAAGAAGCATCGTTTGGCTTCTTCCACCTGGAGAGGGAAAGCAAGTGATTCCGTTTTGTGCTGTTTCTCTGTGTATGCTCTTCATTTGTACGAAGCTTAGATGAGCGTCAGGTGAAGGATAAAGCACACTTGAGGGCCAATTACTGTAATCCTCCTGTGTTTACTTCTCAGTGATTCTGCAGAATGAGAGATGAGGTTAAGCCCTGAGACTTCAACAGTTAGGTCCTGTCTTTCGTGGTACCGTATTTCATAATAACAGGAGAGAACCAAAACAGCTTAGAGCAATGGTCACCAACCGGTGGTCTGCGGACCACTGGTGGTCAGTGAGGTCCGAAAGGTTGGTGGCCGCCGACCTGGAGCTGCCGGGCACAGATGGTGAAGGTTCCTGCAGAGAGGCTCAGCAGCAGGCCGCAACTTTGAAAAGGATTCAGCTGTGAACAAAGTCAGGTCAGGGGCTTGAGCCCACCTTCCATGGATGCCGTGGAGGATGTAGAAGACATGAATGGGGCTCAGCCTTAAAGCTCGTCAGAGGCACAATAAGTAGCACTAGAATGTGTTAAAATACATGGTGGTTATGTCTGATTTAGGCCAGGTGTCAGCAAACTTTCTTAAAAGGCCCGAGCGTCAATCTTTCAGGCTTGAGGGCCATATGGTCTCTGCCCTTGTTGTGCGAAAATCAGCCATCGACATGACGTGAACCAATGGATGTGGCTGTGTTCCAGCAGAACTTTATTTACAAAAATAAGGTAGCAATCTGATTTCGACAGGAGGTGGGGTGGTTAAGAACGGAATAATTTCAACTAATAGTCCACACTGTGAGCAGGTCAAATACTTCTTACAAGCAAAATGTGGTCAAGACTATAATACAGATATACTTTTGCAATTAAAAATAAAATGAAAAATCACCTGCCTGGCCGTATACATCCAGATCTTCTAGAAGCTGCTTTTCCAAATGTTAACTTGACTGAGCTGTGTTAGGCAGCTGCAGCTTGGTCCTTTCTAGCTGTTTCTCAGTGGTGGGTCTCACTTTGTTTAGACTGCTTGTTCTTGAGATTGGCAGAGGCATCGTGATTTTTTTTGTAGCCGTGGTCATGATGGCGCTAAAAGGCTTACTCTGAACCACAGCCCTCCTTATAAAATTAAGAGGATTCTATCACTTCCAGGTTTTGAATAGTACCAATTTAATACATTTACTTTTTTAAAGTTTAGAGCTAAAAGTTCAAGTTGAGAACTTTGACATTTTAAGTTTTTCTTGGTCTAGCTAGGTAGTCAGTGTCTCCTAGACTTATCCACACTGAGCAGCCACCAAACACTTAGGTTAGTCATCAGTTGTCAGCTGTCCTCTAGGCCGAACTACCCTGTTTTCCCAAAATAAGACAGTGTCTTATATTAATTTTTTCTCCCAAAGTTGCGCTAGGTCATATTTTCAGGGGATGTCTTATCTTTCCATGCGCTAGGTCTTATTTTCGGAGAATGTCTTATTTTCGGGGAAACACGCTATGTGGCTGTTTACATTTCTATTTAAGACCCTTAGGTTCATGTCTATCTTGGATAACCGTATTACTAAGCTTGCACTTTCTACCCTGAAAGAAAAATCGTGGTTGAGAACTGGTTAGATTAGATTAGATTGTTATTGTTACATCCTGTATGCAATTCACATTAATTGTGCATTGCCGGGTGCTGTAGATACAGCAACAGCTAAGACAGTTTTATTTTATGGCACCAAAAAGCGCACTGATATATATTACCAACGGATAAGTGCTCTAACAAAGTGATGATAAGAGATGGAGAGATGAATATGAGAGGGTAGGTGAAGGGAGTTGGGGAGTGGCCAGGAGCAGAGGAAAGCTTGGCACATGAGGAATCGAGAGTTCTCGGGCTCTAGTGCAGTGACAAGGGAGGGGTGGGAAAGAGAGTCTGGGGCAGATGGTACTGCCCATCCACGTCCTTGGGGACCTTAGTAAAAATTCAGGTTGTTCAACATGACTGGCTGCAATCATTTAAATAAATGTGCACCCATTTGCATTATTTTATCTACACTAATACTTGTATTTTTTTTTTTTTTAAAGAGGATGGGTCGGTCCTGAAACAGTTTCTTTCTGAAACGGAGAAGTTGTCCCCCGAAGACAGAGCAAAATGCTTTGAAAAGAATGAGGTAGGAGGAGAACTTCCAGAGCGTCACCTTTTCGGTAACTCGGGGAGATTTTGTGCTAACGGTTCTGTCTCGTCTGCAGGCCATTCAGACAGCCCATGACGCTGTGGCCCAGGAAGGCCAGTGTCGGGTAAGTGCAAAGACCAGTCTGAGCCAGGCCACCCAGGTGCCACCTGTGTTTTCCCTAAAATACGTGTAGTGACCTTCTATTGGGACACAAAAGATGTTGTTTTCCACCCAAGGCCAGTTGACACCGAAAAATCCTACTGGGACAATGCTTTGCCCAGACCTGTTTATAAGAAATGGCTCTCAGAAATCCAGTTTGCAGTTGGCACAACCTTGAGTAAATTCAGGGTGATAGTGTTCTGTTTACATGCAAATGAGTAACACCCCATCTAGGAATTGAGCACGTCAGATATTCTTCTCGCAGACTGCTGCGTATAGTAAGATGCACAAACAAGGACTGAGTTTCCAGAAGGCTTCTGTACCATTAATTGGCACAGAGCCTTCTAGTCAAATGTTAACATTAGATTTAAGTCAGCTGCACTGCCTCTGTAATGATAGTTTGCTCTGCCACTTTCTCTTCTTGACCTTGGGTGAGATACTTAAATTCTGTAAGCCTAAATTTTCTCTGCTGAAACCGATTTTGGCTCAAGGGTCCCGGGTTCGATTCCGGTCAAGGGCATGTACCTTGGTTGCGGGCACATCCCCAGTGGGGAGTGTGCAGGAGGCAGCTAATCGATGTTTCTCTCTCATCGATGTTTCTAGCTCTCTCTCTCTCTCCCCCTCTGTAAAAAATCAATAAAACATATTAAAAAAAAAAAAAGCCTAAATTTTCTCTTCAGTAAAAAGTCAGTTCTGACAGCTACACTCTATCTACTTTATTGTGCTTAGATTAGAGCCTAATTAGGAAATACATAAATGTTACCTGTAGTTTTAAAAGTATACAAGCAAGCCTGGCCTGTGTGGCTCAGTGTTTGAGCGTTGACCTAAGAACCAGGAGGTCAGGGCTTGATTCCTGGTCCGGGCACATGCCTGGGTTGTGGGCTCGATTCCCAGTAGGGGAGTGCAGGAGGCAGTTGATCAATGATTCTCTCTCATCATTAATGTTTCTATCTCTTTCTCTCCCTCCTTGAAATCAATAAAAAAACATTAGAAATATATATACACATACACAAGAAAGTTGGTTAAAGCATATTATACTTATTACATTTTTAAACTTTTTTAATTCTCATCTGAGGATAGGGATACACACACACACACACACACACACACACACACACACACATACACATATATTTTAATCCTCACTGGAGGATATTTTTCCATTTACTTTTTGAGAGAGGGAAAGAGAAATATTGATGTGAGAAAAACACATCGATTGGTTGCCCCCTGTATGAGCCCCAATCAGGGCCAGGATGGAGCCTGCCACCAAGGTCCATACCCTTGACCAGAATTGAACTCAGGCCGATGCTCTATCCACTGGGCCAAACCGGCTAGGGCTATATTACAATTTTTTTTTTTAAACAAATTACGTTCTGCTTTATAAAATAACTCATTTTCAAAAAAAAATTTCTTGGCTCTCTCCAGGTAGATGACAAAGTGAACTTTCACTTTATTCTCTTCAACAACGTGGATGGCCACCTCTATGAACTTGGTACGTTTCGCTCCATTATTTGGAATCTAATACAGTTCCATTCTTTCATACTTACAATTCCTTTTACTGTATTGATATGTAGCTTTATAGCACTTCGGTATATGATTGTTTATAAAGTCAACAACAGGGTATTCCCATGGGGGAACTTAACCCTTTGTGCCCTTCCCTGTGGGCAACTGACCTGCCAAATGATGGCTCCAGTCAGACCAGAAACGAGACCAGTCCAGCGCCAGTCAAGGCGGGAGGGTTCAGTTTTTCTTCTCACTTTTACACTGCAGCTCTTTTCCCATTAGGGTCTCTGGCATCATCATCCTTTTCAGACAGGGAATACTTTGGGGGAAAAGATAAATGCCTAAATGTGACCTCGTTAGTGTAAAATGGGTTTGTTCGTGTTGGGATAATTCTGTTCACTGTATATGGCAACAAGGAAGATGATCCATCTTGTAAAAGTCGCCTCCTTGTATTAATAGAGAAAGCTGTGTTGTCTCACGTCCAGACACTGCCTTTGAGTAGGCAGCTCACTGGCAATCATTGAGGGCACATCTCCAGGGGCCCTGCCTGCCTCCACCTTCCTGCACCTGAGAGACTGAATCTGCCATTTGCTCTGTGTCCTGCCCGGGGGATGGGGCACAAGTCCTTCGTGAGGGTGGCTGGGTTGGGCTGTGATCTTGTTACTTGTGGGTGAGAATTGCCTGGGATGGATTATCCACACGAGCACTTGAACCTCATTCCCAGCATGTTGCTTTATAACTAGGCTTTCTTTGCGGGAGTGGCAATGCTTTTGGGAGAATCTGAAACCTCCCCTTAAGGCTGGACAAGCACAGTAGCCAGAGCATGCGCATAGGAAGTTGACACGCCTGGCTTCTTTGTTGCAGATGGACGCATGCCTTTCCCGGTGAACCATGGCACCAGCGCAGAGGACTCGCTGCTGCAGGTGAGTTTGGAATCCATGCCCAGTCAGGCCACGTATCTTGAGCCAACGGTCCGTTGTAAAGTGCTAACAGCTTTTCAGTACAGCCGGCAGCAATCTCCTGAGTTAATAGCAGTCTTTGGGGCTTAAAGATCATTTTGGTAATCCTACCTACCTTCTTGTATAGCACGTGGATTTAACCAGGATCCCTGACTGACCTGTGTCGTGTGCCGGCTCTAGCCCACAGTGAAAATTAGCCGGAAAGCCAGGGCTCTGCCTCTTTGTGGGATTAAGGTGACCATTGTCCTCTTGCCAAGTTACATCATCGCTAACGACTCAAGGAACAGCAACCTGAGCCTTCCCTCATCCGCCCCAGGCTGCTGGATTTGGGTCAGTTTTGTAGGGAGTGTATTATGGGTTCTGGTTAGGCAGTTAATTTTAGGAGCATTTTCTTCCCACTTGGTCCGCTGTTAATAGGATGAGAGAAGCAGATTCAAAACATGCCTGGCAGGAACTTTTAAGATCCAGGATCACAGTGTAACCATCCCCGAACAAGTGACCACAGAAGCCTTCGTTCTGGACCAGAGCTGGGAGGCCACGCTAGGCCTGTTCACCCTGAAAACGAGTCTCCTGAAACAGTTGAATCAGTTTGCTGTTCTAAAGAAAAATTATTGGGATGAAATGAAAATGCTACTGCATTTGTAATACGGCTGCATTTGTAATACAGCTAGTCATTTTTTTTTTATTTTTATTTATTTTTTTTATTTTTAGCACTTGCTGTGTGTAGACTGGGGGTTGGCAGAATTTTTCAGACAGAAGAAGCTTTAGCTTTGGGAGGCATGTGGCCCGTTGCAAATATTCAATTCTGTTACAGCTCCAAAGCAGCTCATAGACAGTGGGTAAATGAATGTGTGTGGCTATTGCAAAAACAAACTGGCAGCAGCTCGTTTTGGTGCCCCGGCTGCAGTTTGCAGACTCCTGAACTATGTGCTCTTCAAAGTGACTTAAAACTCTTATGGAATCCTTCTAAGGATACTGGGAGGCAGGTATTATTTTACACATTTTACACATGAAGGAACTGAGGTGCAGAGGGTAAGTGATGCCCAAGGTCAGTGACGTACATGGCAGAGCCACGGCCCCCATCTCTGCAGTCTGTCTCTAGAGTCTGTGTGCAGTCATTGTACAGTATCGCCTTTCTGAGCGATAGGCCTGCCTTCCGAACATCACAGACCTGACGCCTCCGAGGCGCTGGTGGGCCAGGTACGCCTCTCCAGGAGGGAGGGTCACTTGCTCCAGTTGGCTGATACATACACCTGAGATCACTGGGAGCTAATTCCTGGATGTACAGAGGGTTGAGAACAGTAATATCGAATGAGAACTAGACCTAGAGAAGCAGGATCTGGGAGATTTTCACGAGAGAGTCAGCATTTACTTATGGGAGAGTAAGAACGGAGGCACAGTTTCTGGTCATGACCCATTTGGGGGAAAGCTCCAAATAAAGCTCTGAGGTCCATTCTGACTTCTAGCTGACACTATCCTGATACCATGAGATGCATCCCCCCCATGGAATACCTAAGACCATTATGTGAGGAGAATGTTTGGGGTGAGGGGAAGGTAAAACTTTATTGTTCAAAAAAAACAAAAACAAAAACAAAAAAACAAAAACGGTTCTAATTAGAATCTCTTTTAAAAGTAAGTGAATGTAAACTAGCATCTTAATTAGTGAAAATAATCTTGAGTCAGGCTGGTTGTATGTAATTAAAGATGTTTTAGGATTTCTACACTTGACACAAAATTTACTTAAGCCAGTGAGCAAATACATAAGCTTAACCCAATCATTCTAAACTTCAATGACTTAGGTCCCAACTCATGTATATTTTGGAGAGAATTGTGTTTTCCCTTTAGAGGCTCACACTTCATGTTAGTTAACACTGTAGGAAAGCCTTACAGGTATGGAATATCAGTGTCTTAAAATTCTGACAATAAAATGTGATGCTAGTCTAGACTCACTTTAGTTTTGCTAAGTTGTTTCAAAGCAGAATGAAACTCTGCCATGGTGAATCTTTTTTTTAATATGTATATATTTTATTGATTTGTAAAAAATATATATATTGATTTTTATTATTTTTTTTTACAGAGAGGAAGAGAGAGGGATAGAGAGTTAGAAACATCAATAAGAGAGAAACTTCGATCAGCTGCCTCTTGCACACCCCCTATTGGGATGTGCCCACAACTAAGGTACATGCGCTTGACTGGAATCGAACCTGGGATCTTCAGTCCATAGGCCGACGCTGTATCCACTGAGCCAAACCCCTTTCAGCTCAAGGCGTTTTTAAAACCTAGAATTTGGTAAATAGCTAATACAGACGTACTTCTGAGATATTGCGGATTTGGTCCCTCTATGATAAAGCAAATACAGTGTCACCATAAAGCAGCTTGCAATCTTCTTGCTGGTGGAGGGTCTTGTCTTCAGTTTAGAAGTAACATATCTCTATGTTCTATACCTGGAAGACCCTGTATGGGAACTTTTGAATATAACAGTTAAACAAAAAAAACAGCAATAAGAAACTGTAAAATTGGGAGCCATGACCAATGTGACTCAGCTGGGCATTGTCCCATGCACCCAGAGTTTGCCAGTTCAATTCCCGGTCAGGGCACCTGCCTTGTGGTGAGCTGGATTCCCCATGGGTGATGCGCAGGAGGCAGCTGATGGATCTTCCACGCTCACATTGAGAGTGCTCAGTAAAGCAAAATGCAGAAATCAATTCTCTGTTACCAGTCTTTGTGATCTAGAGTTAGTAACACATCTCTTGTTTATGCTTGGAATATACCAGGTATATAAATTTCTAAGGCTCTTTTGTAAAACGTTTACTTGAAAGAAGTTTGTCTCTGCTCTGGGAACTTCAGAATTAGAACTTTTGTGTTTTGTTGTCAAAACCAGGCACAAGGTGGGAGGAACAGGGCATTCGGTGAGAGGAACAAAGGAGTCCAAGCTTCTGAAGTCAGATCTGTGGTGCAAGTCTGTCTCTCCCTTGACCTGATTTTTTTTTTCTCTTAACCCTTGGGGATTTAAAAAAAATGTATTTTTATTGATTTCAGAGAGGAAGGAAGATGAGAGAGAGAGGGGGGGGGGAGGGAGGGAGGGAGGGAGGGAGGGAGGGAGGGGGAGAGAAGAACATCAATGAGAGAATCATTGATCAGCTGCCTCCTGCACAGCCCACACCAGGGATCGAGCCTGTTACTCTGGGCATGTGCCCTGAACGGAATCAAATTGTGACCTCCTGGTTCATAGGTTGATGCTCAACCACTGAGCCACTCCCACTTGGCAAGCCTGGATTTTTAAGTTTAACGGGAAGTGTACAGTTGACCAGGGTGAACTTGGAGGCCTTCCTGGTACTTGCCCTTTGAAAGGTTCATTCTGAGCTGTTGCTGTGTGTGCGTTAATGACATCCCTCCTTTTCAGGATGCTGCCAAGGTCTGCAGAGAATTCACCGAGCGTGAGCAGGGGGAAGTCCGCTTCTCTGCCGTGGCCCTGTGCAAGGCAGCCTGAAGTCCTGTGCGAAGGAACTCGCTCTCCTCCCCTCCCCTCTGCCCTTCACTATCGAAACACACCCCTGCCGGTGTAGGCTGAAAATGCTTGTGTTGTAGACAGCAGCTGTTCTCCTTTGGTTCTGTAGCTGTATTCCCTCCTGATCACACCCAAGCGCTAGCGGAGTTCAGCTGTCGATTGAGGAGTTTGATGTAAGCTTCAGATGGCGAAGCATTTCCCCAGTATATGTCTTGTCCTTCACTATATAATGCTTTAAATGGCTGCTTTGTTTTGTGTCTGTAAAGGCCTTGGATGTGGTTTCAGTTGTTTGTCCTTATAAGAAATAAAACTTTTCTGCTGAAAAGAGGGAAGCCGAAACTGGTTTGTATTCTCTTTTGCCTTCCCTTCATTGTACCTGAAATATCTTGCGTAATAGTGGAGGTACATATCTTCCATATAAATAACTCATAGCCTAGGTAAGAAAATTCAAATATACTAGAGGCCTATTGCATGAAATTTGTGTACAGGGTCGGGGGGCGGGGGGGGGTGGTGATCTCAGCCCAGCCTGCACCCTCTCCAATCTGGGACTCCTGGACATCCCTCTCACAATTCTGGATTGCAGGTTCCTAATCGCCTGCCTGCCTGCCTGGTTGCCCCTAACTGCCCCTACACACACACACACACACACACCCCCTCCCCCCGCCACTGGCCTTGTTGCCTGTCACTGCCCCCTGCTGCTGGCCTGGTCTCCCCCAAATGTCCCCTCTGCTAGCCTTGTTGCCCCCAACTGCCCCACCCTGTTGGCCTGGCCACCCCACGCAGCCTGTTCAGTCATTTGGTCATCCCTCACCCCTGCTGCAGACCTTTGTAGGCAGCCATCTTGTGAGGGCATGAGGTTCAATTTGCTTATCTCTATTATATAGGACTAGAGATTAGGGTCCCTATGAGCCTTCCAGCTGTCAGCTGGGGTTGTCCTATGTTCTGCACCATCTCTTGGTGGTCATGGTGAGCGATCAAACTCCTGGTCTCCTAGTCAAATTCTCAAGGGGACATTTTGCATATTAGCCTTTTATATATAAAGATATAGAGGTTACTGGTTTAGTGTCACTAGATGTTTTTCTATACATTTATAGTACTGTGTGTATTTGCAGACTGAAATATTCTTGAAATATTTTAGAACAATTTTAGATTTCCAGAAAAACTAAGATATTATAGTTCCCATATACCCTTCATCCATTTCCCCTCTTCGTTATCTTACATTAATTTGATGCATTTGTGGTAATTAGAAATAATTACAAAAATCATCTCACTAATGACTAAAGCCCTTAGCTTATTCAGATTTTCTTAGTTTTTACAAAATATTCTTTTCATGTCTCAGACTCCCTGTGGCTGTGATAATTTCTTAGACTTTCCATATTTTTGATGACTTTGCCCGTTTTGAGGAGTACCAGTCAAGTATTTTGTAGGATGTCCCTCTATTAGGATTATCTGATGTTTTTCTCATAATTAGATTGAGGTTATGAGTTTTGGGGAAGGAAGATAACCGAGGTAAAGTGCCATTTTCATCACAGAGGGTACATGCCATCAATAGGTTTTATCACTGCTGATAGTGACTTCATTTCCTGACTGAGGTGACATTTGTCAAGTTTCTCCACTTACTGGAGTTGTTTTTCTCACTCCCACCGCCTTTCATACTATCCTCCGCACAGCCCACTTTAGGAGTTGGGAGTTGAATTATGTTCTAGCTCCTTGTGGGTGGAGTACCTTTAAATTATTTGCAATTGTCTTACAGGGAGATTTATCTATTCTCTGCTACTTAATTGTTTATATCAATGTGAATTCGTGGATAACTCTTTTATAACCTGGGTTATATCCAAAATTATATTTTCTTGCTCAAGTCGTTCCAGTTTTGACCACTGAGAATTATTTCAGTTGCTTCCTGTGTCTATTTGACATACCCCAATCAATGTAGCTTCCCCCCCCCCCCCCCAGCAATTCTTTGCTTTCTAGAAATAGGTGTTATTGTTTGTTTTTTAAAAACAAAAACAAAATAACAAATGTCTTTGCCATTTGCTAAGTCTTACTATTTTCTAGATCAGGATATGCTGATATATAATTTATCAGCTTGCATTCAAGTTTCAATGACATTTGTTTTCAACAGCTGATACTTGAATATGACCGTTCCTTTCTAGTTATAGGAATGAAGGACAACGGGGAAGAAACTCCATGCTTCCTGCTCTTGCTGTGATCTTCTCGGGAGCTTTCTCATCCTGTTTGCTGCTCGGGGCCAGAGACCTTTGGCCTCAGCTGCCTCAAAGTTCTCAGCTGTAATTACTCTATGGTAATAATACCTGCGATTCCGACTTCTAAGCAAAGACTACGTTGGTTCCTAGGAGTAACTATTAACATTTTGTTCACGTGGAAACTACCTATCCGGGAATTCTAATTGCTTAGCGTTGAAACCAGAGGAATGCATTTTTAATTCTAACTTGGTGTGTGACTTCTATACAGTCACTTTGTAGGTTGTCCTTGGGAAGGAAACAAAACAAGGCTCCTTTCTGCTAACAGGAGCTAGTAAAAAGATTGCTTTTGGCCTCAGGAGAGCAGCGACATGTAGTGGTGTAGTTTGAAATACTTTCATTACTTTATGTGTGAGAAGCATACTTATGAAAATGCTTTTGAATAACATAACAGTATGCCTTAGCACATCACACCACAGAAGGTTATGCAAGGTGAATTTTGACCTTTGGGTCCCACATTTTAATGTGGGTGATTGGATCCCTGGAGGTCCAGAGAAATTTCACTTTTACTGAGGAAATAGGCGTGGAGGCTAGGTAATATGCCCCTTGTCACTGCTAGTCACTAGAACTTAGACCATGAACTGACTTCCTACAGTAGCTAACCTAGTTTGAGAGTCAATATAATAGCTTATCAAACCTGTCTTTGACCTCCACTTCTGCTTCAGTAACTTTGGGGAAAGAATTTATCCTCTCCCACATCTTCCTTGTTTTATGTTAATACGAGTGGCCCAGTGCACGAAATTTGTGCGGGGGGGGGGGGGGGGGGGGTGGCAGAGAGGTAAGGGTGCCTCTCAGCCTGGCCTGCGCCCTCTCCAATCTGGGACTCCTCAGGGGATAATCGGCAGTTGGACATCCCTCTCACAATCCAGATCTGCTGGCTCCTAACTGCTCGCCTAGCTGCCTGCCTGATTGCCCTTAACTGCTTCTGCCTGCCAGCCTGGTTGTCCCTAACTGCTCCCCTACTGGCTTGATTACTCCTAACCACCTCTGCCTCGGCCCTGCATGCAGGACCTAGGATTCCCTTCTCCAGCTGACCACAGGCACCCAGGATCTGGGCTTCCCTTCCTCTGGTCAGCCATAGGCACCCAGGCTGATTGCAGCCACAGAGATGATGGGCAAGTGGCTCTGCCTAGGCTGCAGCCACAAGTGTTGGTACCCAGGACTGTGGGGTGGGCAGCTTCTTTATCTACCAGGCTGCACCCGGCCTCAGTGCTGGCGCCTGGACCACAGGCAGGCGGCTTCTCCATCTTCCTTGGGATGCAATGTGAGCAACTTCTCTGGCTGGCTTTGCCTGGGATCATAGGGCAGGTGTGGCTTCTTCATCCAGCCTCAGGTGCCGGTGCCCGGTTTCTCTGTCTCCCGGGAAGGACATGGGTCGGGAGGATGTGGGGTGGGCAGCTTCTGCAGCTGGCTGCGGCCTGAGGTCATGGGGCAGGTGGCTTCTTAGTCTCCCTGGCTGGAGCCAGCCTCAGGCTCTGGTGCCCAAGTTCTCTGACCCCCACAGGCCTGGAGCAGCAGGGGTATGGGGCTGCCACAATGTTTTCAAGTTAATTTGCATACTCACTCTGATTGGCTGTTGGGCGTAGTGGAGTGACGGTAGTTTGCATGTTTCTCTTTTATTAGTGTAGATAGACACAACACAGAATGAAGATGTCTGGAAAGGGCCTGTACTCTAGAAGATTCCATCTAGTATCAATGTCTTCCCCACTGTTCTCCCTGAGGCCTCAGTCATGTACAGCCCTGGGGATACCATTGACTTATATTCCATATGAAGGCAGTACCCCATAGAATTTTGCAACCCAGAAGCCCTTGTTTACCGTGGAAGCCCTCCTAATTGATTTTGTAGATTTGTCAAAGATCTATGCCCAGTTGGCTTATTCCTTAGAAGTTAACCAGTCTTTGGCAATGAAGGTGACTTTGTAGTGTTTTCAACGGGCAAAGCCACCTGCTACTAAGGATCCATCCCTTTTAACTAACACCCAAAATGTCCAGTTGAGGAGTCTTTAGGTTTTATATCTGTTCAATATAATACTTGGTCTGTCTTAAGATTCCCAAACATGGGAAAATATTCCTACATGAAACAAGTGAGATGGTTTTGTAAAATAAATATACATATGTATTTAGAAAACAGGACTATGATAGCTAAATGTTCACTCTATTCTAAGTTAAACTTGGTCATATATGAGATGGACATTATCCCTGTTTTACAGACGAAGAAACTAAAGCACAGTGAAGTTTCACAAGTTGCCCAAGGTTACCTGGTAGTAAGGGATGTTGCTGATGTTCAAACCCTAGCAGCCTGGCTCTAAGAGCCCACAACAATGATGAATCCTGGGGAGAGATGGACTGAAAGTGAAGTTTGAGCTTTAGTGCCCCACCCTCTAATGACCCCTTCCCACATCCTGCCTTGTGTGTCCTTGGGAAATTCGCAATTTCTCAAAAGTGTAGGTATGCTCCTCTCTCTGGGTATTGAGATTATGGGTGATTTTAACTTTATATTCTCATTTTCTAAACTTCCTAAAATTACTATATTATTTTTTAAAATATATTTTATTGATTTTTTTTTTTTTACAGAGAGGAAGGGAGAGGGATAGATAGCTAGAAACGTGGATGAGAAACATTGACCAGCTGCCTCCTGCACACCTCCTACTGGGGATGTGCCCGCAACCAATGTACATGCCGTTGACCGGAATCGAACCTAGGACTTTCAGTCTGCAGACC